CTTCAAATTGCTTTTTTACGGCTCCAATACGACCATTTTTAACAAAGATACAGCTATCCTAAGAATCGCAAAACAATTTTTTTTATCGTTTAATTTTTTGTGTTGGTGTGGAAGTTTTACATTGCTACTGGTTTCTAATGTGGAAACTACCAAATAATAAAAAATCAGATTTTTTAGTCTCGGTCAACATTTTCAATAATGAAAAATTTAATATATTCTACATTTCACTTTATTATTATTATATATTTTACTCAAAATTTCATTTTGAAAAAAAATAAAAAAAACCGGTTTTTTTTTTCAAGGTTTTTTTCATGTTTTTTTTTTCACATCTGAAAAAAAAACCGTTTTTTTACATCTCTAGTTATGTCACTTCTCAGATATGCGCATACGGCTTCAAGTGCCTCTCCAGCATGCGCATAGGTGCCATAAAAAAAGACTAGTGATAACCGAAAGTAAGGATACTTGGCTTGAGAGAACAGAAATGGGCTGTTGGGCGCCAGAAAATAGCACAACTTATTGGTAGAACTGAAACTTTGGCAAAGTTACAAACTTGGAGGTTGTTTTTTTTAATGGGGTATTTATTGGCTCTAAAAATAAACTAGTTATGGGGCCCGAATTTTGTTGTGGGGGGTCTGTTTAGACGACTCGTATATTATATTATATCAGGCTTAAAATGTTACTTCATCTTTAAATAGGTTTATAGTAAAAACATGTTAACACTAACTAGTTACAAGTGAAGAAACAAAAATCACTACATTACAAAAAAAATCATTTATTTAAAACAAAAAACAATAATATAAATAAAACAAAAACTGGTTTAAAATTAAAACAACTTAAATTTACGTTTTTTGGTCGTTAAACATCCTTAACAGTCTATCTACCTTCTTCGAGGTCATATTCAAATTACAAAAAAATATATATATAGTTTTTAAGTAATTAGTTAACACGTGTTAAAAAGTCATAAGAAAATGAGGAGCATCCGTGCAAAACCGGCTAAATCCATTTTATTCAGTTTTTGGTTTTTTTTTTGATTTCGCATCTTTGGGTTCATTTCTATCGACAACCAAGATAATTCTGTTTAAATCCGACTATTTCCCTCGTCTTAATTTCCACCAATCACAAACGCGCAATTTTGAATTACAAATGGTTTCTAGGTGAAAAAACTGTGTGACAGCACCTGTCAGCAGTTTATTCGAGTTTACCCGCGGCAAAACTTGACAGCTGTTGTCACCAAAAATTGCAATTTATATTTTAATTGTTAACTGTTACTCATGAAATAGTCTTGTCAAATACCATTCGGGCATCTAATTTTTCCTGTGAAAAAAATCGAAAAAACACAATGCTAAGTAATATTTTTTAACAAAAAGCATTCGTGCAGGTGCAAAAATCCTCCTCTTCGACTCGGATTTTTGTTGCCACCAGCACTCATGCTTTTTGTTAAAATATTACTTAGCAACGTGTTTTTTCGATTCTTTTCGGAAAAATTAAATGCCCTTATGATATTACTTACGACTATATCCATGTTAAAATCACATTTAAAAGGTAGCTTTAGGAGCATCCAATAAATAATAATATGTGGCTTGGATGTGTCGATACTACTACTAAAATTTGTTCTGTTTTTTCATGTTTGCACTGTTTTTTCATGTTTGCACTAAATTTAAATATTTTTGAATAATAAAGGTTTTTTTTTGCATTTTATTCGTTTTTTATTCGGTTTTCAAGCAAAACCGGCTATATACAAAACATTTTTTGAAATTTTGGCCTTAATATAAAGTTTTTGAAAACGAAAGTATGTCTTATAAAAGTCCACAAAACTCAAGTTTGCTTTTTCTTTTATCTGTAAAGGCCAGGAAACCGAGAGTTTTTGCCATTTTCCCAACATTTTATTAAAGTGGATATAGCCGGTTTTGCACGGATGCTCCTCAAATGATGTTTTTAAACCGGTCAAAACCAGGTTTTTGCGGTCAAAGTTAAGAAAAACCTCTTAATTATGGTCAGGGCCGTTCCTAGCTGTTTTGCCGCCGGTATGCCCTTGTGGAAATTTTTCTCTGAGAAAGTGTTACTTTCTCTGAAAAAGTCTGAATAAGTCTTATTAAGTCAGACTAATAGCAAGATTTGGGAGTCTTCTGGAAGAGTTAATAAGACTTTTTAAGACTTAATAAGACTTTTAGTAGAGAAATGGTAGGTACCTACGGAGATAAAAATAAATATCCGAAATAATTCATAGAGGTTGTATTTGGTTATCGTAAAATAAAACACATAGAAAAGTATTTATTAATATTTTTGCTGTTGTTATAAGCCAAGTTTATTGCATAATAACATAGGTAAGATGTAATAATTATAACAATTATAATTTTATACATACGATGCGCTTGACATGCATGCTTTCATTGTTTCCACTATAAAAAAGGAGTCAATACCATTTCTCTACTAAAAGTCTTATTAAGTCTTAAAAAGTCCTATTAACTCTTCCAGAAGACTCCCAAATCTTGCTATTAGTCTGACTTAATAAGACCTATTCAGACTTTTTCCGACTTAATAAGTCCTATTCTGACTTTTTCCGACTTAATAAGTATTATTTAGACTTTTTAAGAGAAAGTAAGACTTTCTCAGAGAAAAATTTCCACAAGGGTGCGAAATAAAATTTGCCACTCTTCACAAATGGGTAGTTTATTTTCAGTCAAATTAACAAAAATTGTGGAAATAAAATTTAATGAAAATAAATAAAACGACACATTTACCAAAATTTAAAAAGTTTGTTTCATTATTTGTCTTCTATAATAATAATTTTTACATTTACTTAAATGTTGTGTAGCCTTTAATTATTCTTAAAGATTGTTTCAGACATATTCCCAAAGAATGCTCCGGCAATGTGCCGGATCATTCCAGATAAGCAGAGAATATTCCTAAAGGATTCTTAAGGATTGTTTCAGACATATTCCCAAAGAATGCTCCGGGAATGTGCCGGATCATTCTAGATAAGCAGGGAATATTCCTGGAGCATTGGGAAGATTGATTGCGGTCTGGGTTTAACTACCGGCAAAATATGGAGGATTTTGGATAATCGAATATTTTTTAAAACGTTGTTGTTTACAGGTAGTATTATAATAATATATACCTAATGCAAGAAAAAAAATTAAAAAATGTTCAGTTTTTATCTTTATGACGAATATCCCCTAACTTTTTGCCGGCAGTTTATTTCGACCAATTACAAAAATACCGCTCTTCACAAATGGGTACCTTCATTTTAATCCGTAATTTTGTTTCGGTCAAATTCACAAAAGTTGTGTAAATAAAATTTAAAATAAAATTTAATGACAATAAAATAATATTTCAATTTCCATGTTAAACAAATTACAAATAATTTTAAAGGGCAAAGGCAGTAAGAAAATTATCCTTCCAAATACGTAAACATGTATACCTGCAGGTATTTGATGCGATAAATTCAAATCCGACCTTAGAATTGCTTCGTGGCAGATTTTTGAGAAATCCCAACCCAAATTTGGTCCTCTTTAAAGAATTTCGTACATATGTAACTCTCTTGTGGTCCAGTCATTGTAGCATTGTAATTGGAAAAAAATTAATAAGAGGTATATTTAAAAAAGTATGTGATGCGTTAATTTTAGAGGAAAAAGGGAAGAACATGCGAGCGCGTTAGATGGCAGCACAAACGGAGAATGTTTACGTATTGTTATATAACCAGATAATTAAAGAGCATTTTTTAATCTATAACGATCATAATCCAGAAAACGATTTTTGGACGTTTAGGTCTAATGGTTTCTGTTTAATGTTTTTTTTAAGAAGTGAAAAATCACGAGTACTTGTTTCCTAGCTAGTAATTTGTAATTTGTTTAACCTTTAAAACTCATGGTTTTTGATAAACAAATTACTTGTCAACCCGTTTATTAATTTTTTCGGCATTTTGTAATTTCTTCATTATACTGTTTTAAAAATAAACACGTATTTTTTTTCTTGGGCGATTTGCAATGAAAATACTTTAAATACCCATAAGCTTTCCAGCTCCTCTGCTGTGCCGTGCTTCTAGAGCACTTTACAATGTATTATTACACTATTATTATTATTATACTTAAAATTACAAAAAAAAAGAAGGACCCTAAAATCCTTACCATATACTGTGTATTTATACACAATCTTGAAAATCGGTTTTATTTTTTTATGTTCTTTCAGTTACTAGACTTACCTGATTTACCGCCAGGTGCAATTTAACTCATATATAATACATATATACCTATAGGTACGTAAAGGTACCTGCCTAATTTAAAAAGTTAAGTGATTAAAAATGACATATTTATTAAGTTTAAAATAGTGTGACAATAAAAAAACATAATCAGTTTTTTAAACACATTTTTTTGGTACAAGTAATAAATTAAGAAACAATTCTAAACATAATAAATAAACTCAGAAAAAACATTTAAAAATATAATATAAAACCCCGGAGAAACTTTTTTAAGTTAAGAAAAAGAAACAAATAAATTATAAATAACACATATTTTTTATGTCTTATATTTATTTCATTTACCGCCTCCTAAAATTTTCCAACGGGTGCAGTTATTACCTCTGCACCCCCCTAAATCCGGCGCTGCTAGTTACTAACATTGGTTTCTTATAGGAAGAAAATTGAAAACCGATTTCTAAATCTAAAATAAACAGATAAACCATTATGGTTTAACCATGTAGTAAAATTTTTGCTCAACATTTTTGTTGTTAAAATTTGCTGTCCCTAGAAGGGTCCCCATTATCAGGAGCGGCCCTGATAATGGTGTAGGCTGTATTGCAGATTGTTACAATACATTATTAATTTTATAACTATCATTTTTCCCACATGAAAAGTTTGTGTCGTTTTTTGAATTTCCCTCGTAACTACTGTGCTTTTGATTCTACACGACTCCTATACAAAATTGTACAGCATGCATGCTAAGTTATTTTATATTAACATGTTAATATAAAATAACTTAACATTGATTTTCCTTTGTTTATAGACCACATCCCCACAATTTGGTGGGCAGAGAGGGGTGCAAAAAAGGTGTTTGCACCATGGAAATTCCGGCAGAAACAATGTCGGTAACCTTCACAAACTTGGGTATCCAATGTGTAAAGAAAAAGGACATAGAATCGGCACTGAGGGAACGGGAAGAGCTTAGAGTTGATCCATTTAGAAGTAAGGCGAACAACTTGGCAATTTATTTTATTGTCTGTTTATATTTTTTATTTTTTTTAGCTGGTTTTAGTCACCGGAACCAACCGACTTCGATAGACTTAAATATAGTAAGACTGTGTTTTCAAGTGTTCCTTGTAGAAGATGGTAAAAATGGTTAGTAAAATTGTAATTGCCTCACTAACCCTTATGTCAATTAAGGTCTTGTTGAAATGCATTTTGTTAACATATTAAGTCTTGTGGAATGAAAAAGTCGCCTGTCGGGTTTTTATTCATTCTCATAAAATAAAGTATGCATTATATTGTATGAAATATTGTATATAATATTAAATATAATATTGTTTTAAACTTTGACAAGCTTTATATCAAATTAAAATTGTAACGAAAATGCTTTATATTGACATAAGAGTTAATCTATTCTATACATTGTTTTTACACTGCGTTTCAAAATAAAGGCATTTTGAAATTTGTTTTATTTATGATAAGTTTTATTTATTACAATAGTTACTTTCTTAATTCAAAACTTATGTACGGGTAATAAACTACCTAAAATGCAAATATAAAACCCGAAACCAATAATTGCTTTGAAGAACAAGTTTATAAAATGCTATTTCTCTTGCTTCTCCACAATCTACGCTCAGGGGTGTTTCTTCAGAACATTTATTTTGAAGAAAAAATTAATTATTACTAGCCATAGAGATCTAGATAAAAAAAATTAAAATTTCAATATGTTATAATTCTGAAACGCAGTGTATATTGAGAAATTCAAGTCTTAAATGTTTCAGATAAATATTCAGTTCCACTTGCGCCTGTTGTAAGCGAACCAATTTACGACAAAAAGTCCATGAATGATCTCAGTATTATCAAGCTCTCTGATTGCGTAAGCTACGTCGATGGTGGCCGGAAGGACATAATCTTGCTTTGTGAAAAGGTAAAAAAATAATGTACTATACTAGTAGAACAATATTGTAAGTTTAATGTATGAAAATTACAAGAAATTCCAAAAGAAGCTAATCTACTTATTTGATTTATTATTTATTCTCGAAAATAGCGCACTAAGTCCATACCACACGGGGGTATTTTATGTATAAAGATTACAAAACATTTTTTCTACGACCGCTATCTTGAAACGGTTGTTATTGAAACAAAATATACACGGCATCTCCAGATAAAGTTAACTTTGATGACATATTTATTTTCTGACAGTTTATATAAAAAATTTAAAATTTAAAGGTGGATTAAGTAACATTTTTAATAATAAAGGACAAACAATATTGTAATAATTACTTTAATACCAAATGTTGAAGGTGTCATGTTACATTTAAATTAGAAAATACCCAATAAATGCCCATTCATTGGCCATTACAATACAAGAAAGAATGAGTAATAAATGGGCAATTCTACGTCCGCATTTACGGGCAATCATTACCCAATCACCTATATATAGGGAGTTATCAATTACTGGCCAATCATTAATTGCTCAATAATTTGGAAATAATTGGCCAATTTTTATAATAAAAAAGGTAGTCTTTTAATAATCAAATTTATTTATTAAATAAAAAAATAATTCATAATTTAATTTTAAAGTAATTCATTTTAATTTAATAACATAATATTTATTCTTTTTTTTGCCTCTTTGTTTTCCATTCAGTGTTTATTATGGCTTCTTAAATCTTCTTATGGGAGATAAAATCTATTTTGACGTATATAAGAATTTTTGAGGCGATTTTCACCTTCTTTAATACCGTTATAAATAACAATGCTACAACTAAGTAAAGTACATTAAATTCGCCAAATCCGCCAATTTAAAATGATTCATATTAACAAAAAAAATCAGCGAACGTTTAAAAAAAAATCTAAAAGATTAACAATTTTTTAGAAAAACCCTTTCAAATATCACTTAAGTACTTAAAAACATACTGAATGTTCAATAATTGCCCAGTTCCTGGCCAATCACTACCCTGCTTAAAATATCCCATAAAGACCCGTTCAAACCGATAGATATTTGTATCGGAATGTATGGTGTTTCTATAGGGTGTATCGGTATGTATAGGAGCCATAGTTGGGATTTATGGTTGGATATCCACCCTTGATTTATTTGCTATTGGTTTCAATGGGGAAAATATACATGTGTATTATGCATAAATGTAGAAATTAGTTTTCCCCCATAGGAGTTATTTGCTATCAGTCTCAATAGGGAAAATGTAAAAGTTATGATGTGCCTATAGGTAATTTCCTATAAATTTTCTATCGGGCCGTATCCGGAAAAAACCATGGACAAATGCACATATTGAATCCGGTAACGCCCGATAGATTATTTTATATAGGTCTCTATGGGGTATTTTAAGCAGGGTAGAACTAACGTGAATCCCCAATAAATGCCTGGTTCTACGACCGCGGTCGACCAGTTAAATGGATCAGAAAAAGTGCAATAAATGGGCAATGAATAGGAGTTCACATAACGCTAAAAATTAGACCCGGCCCAATAAATAGCCACTCTCGTTGAAACCAACGAGATTGTGTGAAAATTGAAATCCACGCATTGCTTATGGGGTAATAGACAATATTTTTATTGAATGAAATAAATTTAATAGTGCAATTAATATTTTTCTTCCTTATTATCTATCTTTATTATACCTTCATCCACTTGCCCCTTATCATAACATTTTTATTAGACAATATTTTAAAACGTCCCATAAATATATTTTTATACAAATAATAGTTATTTATGTCATAAGCAGTGGCGTAGGGACCCTCTATAAAAATTGGAACACGGGAAGCGCCGCAGTCAAAAAAAACTCCCAAATAAAAACCTTATTTTGGCTATAATTTTTTTTTGCTTTCAACAATTCCATATAATTTAAGAACAAATATATTTCTTTTAGGTACAGCCTGTACTGTACAGGTAAATTTTAAGAATTGGCCTGGTTTTAATAGTAAAGTGAGCCTACTAAAGATTAATTGAAAAGCGTGACACGTACAAACTTTTATTTTCACATTCATATGGCGATTTTCAAATTAATAATTTCAATTTATTTACTTTAATTTTAATTGATTTTTAATATAGTTGAAGAAAATATCGAGAAAATTGTAGATGCAACAATTGCGGCTTTGTTATCTAATAACCAAAAGAGCGGTATTAGAAATAATACAAAATATGTTGTGATTGGCGCAAAGCAAAAGGAGCAAAAGAGGTAAATCAAGAGTTAATTCTAAATGTGTAATGTGTAATTATAAGGCTATATGTGTAATTATAAGCCTGATGATTTATAGTTTGTAGTTTTGCTGTGTATATAATAAAATTGAACTAGTTTTCCAGTTGGTTTTTTACGAGGCTGTTAAATTGTACAAGTCTTTTATAGAAGCCCATAAAGACAGATCTGTTCCCATAATTTATCGTTTACTTCCGACAACAAAATTAAATGTTAAAGGCACGTTAGTTACGTCATAATTCTAAGATTTTATGTTACGATAAAACTAAAACAAACCAACCAACCCAACCCAACACTTTTTAACAAAGGAACACCAAATTTATAAAATAAAAAAAGTTCGACAACTTCTGAGTATCGAACTCGTTACCTCTCGCATGCAAAGCGACCGCTCTACCATCTGAGCTATCTAGCTGTCATCGAATATATAACGCTCGGGGAATAACAACGGATTATTATTATGACGTAACTAACGTGCCTTTAACATTTTAAATCGGGGCACGTTAGCGTGCCTCTAGTCAAAGCGTTATTTAATACTTGCCAGCTAACGCGTTAATTTTATGCAGCATTTTAACACAGTTTTATTTTTGAGGTTAGATATTTTCAGAGTTGTCATCAGTAATCAATTTTTTACTTGGGTGTAAAAAACACCTGGCTGGTCTATAGGTATTTTTAATGCTAGATTGCGAAATAGCACTTACCTACAATATAAAGGTCAACATATTTTACTTACTAAACGCGATACAGCAAAAATATTAAAAAATAAAGGTACCTAAACATAACCAAAAGTCACGATAAGGAAAGTGGAATGTAGGAGAAAATGACAAATCGATTCATGAGTACTTAATATTTTTGCAGATATTTTTTTTTAACAGTATGAATATAAGTATAAGGTACGTATGGCTGGCCCCATTTGCTTCGCCTTACACACTGTGTCGATGGTTAAGGCCCCCCCAGGTAGCACAACGTGACGAAACCGTGACGATTTGTGTCCAATGGACACAATGGACACAAATCGTCACGGTTTCGTCACGTTGTGCTACCTGGGCCTCCCGAAATTTTGTCGCCGGGCCGGGCCATACGCCCGATTCAGGCTATTGGAGTGCTGGACAAGGAGGGAAAACATTTTGTTTTTTGTTTAATGCCTAATTAGGTATTCTTTGGTTTATTATTCCCTGTTCACCTGTTTTAATGTATTTTTTCCTACGGATGGTTGTACGTGGAAAGGTGTACCTACCCAACCGAAGGCTTGATAGGCTTGGTGAATTTCGGAATTACGAGGTTTTAGTATTGCGAATAGCACCGTGCAAATATTATTAAAAGACTTATCCTTATTTTGCAGATAACCCCTTGTCCCCTCGTGATTGATCTCTTTCAGGTTCCCGCCACAATAATGGCTCCGACAGGTGGGGTGACACTATGCACTTTTCACTTTAATCTTGGTCAGAGAGGTGATTATGCACATTGGGATTGGCGGAACTATACACTGTTAACCGAAACCTTATATAATAATTACCTTTTAGGTATACTGGATTTAATACACGTCTGACGGGTACAAGTGATAATGTCGTACTGTCTATATTTTTTTCTAAGACAGTGTTTAAAAATTGAAAAAACGCCATTCCAAGGTGTATTAAAAGATTTATAACTTTTTAAAGATTAGTTTGATATTTTTTTATATAAAAAATGGCGTATTTTCAGGGGGCAAATTATTTATTCAAATATTCCAGGCATATTTGCAGTATAATTATAATAATACCTCATATTGTAAAAGTACTGCAGTAAATAATTTTATTGAACAAACTTTTCTCTTTAGGTTGCCAAAGAAGATATCCAAGTCCGGTTTTACGAAGAAGTCGGCGGTCAGATAGTGTGGGAGGCGTTGGCCGATATCCAGCCTGCGCAGGTGCATAAACAGCACGCCATCTGGTTCAAAACGCCGCGATATAAAACCCTGGACGTGACAGAAGCTGTCAACGTACACCTGCAACTCAGACGGCCATCGGATGGAGCAACCAGCGAATCCAGACCATTCCAATTGTTGCCTTTAGACTCAGGTAGACCTACTTATTGGACTTACAGAAGGCATATGGCCAAAAAAGGAAATTTTAGTTTGTTGAACAGTATTTTGGCAGAGAGCAGGAAAATGGAGAAAAATAAAATTAATGAAAATAACGCGGTTTTTAATAATAATAATAATGTTGTTAATGATGATATTGATATTTCTGATAAAGATGAAAGTATAATGTTTGTAGATAATTCCACCAATATGGATAGTCTTACCACCAATACTAATTTGAGTGAAGCCACAGTTACTGACCCCTGGGGAGATTACTCGGAAGTTCAAAAAGTTAAAGATACCATGCAAATAACTAATAATAATAATAACAATAATAACGAAGAAAAATCTTTTAACGAATTAATAAATCAAGTAGCAGAATTGGATGAAATTTACGCTGACACACAGGCTAGACTTTTAAACCAAGACCTTACAAATGTTGCCAAACCAATTTTATCCCAAATCCCACAAAACGAATCGTTTGATGACGCTAAAACTTACTCAAGCTTGCAGTTGGCTTTTAAAAATCCAGTTGAACTAGAGATTAATAAACAATACGAAATTGCTTCTATTGATAAACATATGCCCCCACCCATCCCAAATAGTATTATTTCTACAAATAATAACAATAATAATAAACGAGAGAATAACGAAGAAAAGCTGCCACCTCTACCGCCAAAAAGATCCAAAAAAATAGAAACTTACATAGGTGGTAGCCTGACAAGCATAGCGCTCACTGGCAAACAGGCGGAAAATGTACTACACCGTTCGAATTCAAGCATAAAAGCGGTACCAATTAGTCGCTCCAATTCCTTTAACTTGCAACGCCCCAAATCTCAAGTCCACGTTTTTCCCAACGCCAACAAGCAGTTACCTCCTACTCCAAACTACTCCACGCTACCAAACCCAAAAAAGCGTGGATTCTTCTCAAAATTGTTCGGAAAAAAAAGCAAAACTCCAGCAGCATCACGCGATTCTTCTGTAACACCAACAACAAAAAGAAATTCATTTTCAACCTCGTTTAAATCCCTACAAGTAGAACCAAACTTGGGCAAGAGTTCTGGCAATATATCCACTCATTCTACAAACAGTGTAAGAATTCCTCTAAAAGACGATAGTCCTACGAATAGTACAAAAAAATTAAACCCTCCTACCAAAGACCTATCCACTATAAACATGGACGATATTGATATGAACTTAGACTTGACAGAGGCGGAACATTATGCTCTATATACAACTTTGGCTCCACACGCTACTCAAAGCGAGTTTGACGAAATGTCGTGTTATTATGCGCCGGTAGAAGGAGGCAAATTGCTTACTAACTCGGAGGTCATGGCTAGGCTAAGCTCAAAAACATAGAAACATATCATTGTAATTGACAAAAATTATTTGAAAGCTTTTATGTTACCGCATTTGTATTTTATTTCAAAAATATTATATACACATACGAACATTTTGGAAGTTAATGTAATGTTAACAGTCGTTATATTTGTCAAACACTTTTAGCAGTGGCCAAACTGCGGATAAGATAGTTTTGGTATTTAGTTTAAACTTTCTTATTTCTATTATAACTAATATACTTAACATCCCGATTGTTGCATGTAAAAAAAGTTAACAGATTTGCTGCAAATGTGTGTTCCAATTTACATTAAATTTAATGTCTGTTTGGAATACATGAATTGTAAAAAATAATTTTGAGCATTTGTTGTGTAATTTACTTTTTTATATTAACAGATAGGTAATGCTTTAAATTATTTCATTTTATTATAAAAAATAATTTTATTTTAACTTTTACTTATAGGTTTATTAATTTAATATTTATTCTAGTTTAGTGTAAGGCATAATATTTAATAATTTAAAACAATTCTGTAATAATTTTTTAGGAAAAAAAGGCGCCAAGAAAAGGATCTTTGAGTCAGATTATAATGAAATAATTGAGCATGACCCTAGTAAGTTTATTAATTTAAATACAATTTTATTATATTGGTGGTGGAATATATTTCCAAGATGTTTTTAAATATATAGGGTTTTTCCTTATAAAATATTATAAAAATCCCTTTTATTACCTATACAGATGATGGTGGATTGATTTGTTTCACTTTTCGATAATTTTTTACTTATAAGGTTGTTAGTTTTAGAAATATGTTTTCCTCTAGTCGAATTTTCTGGTTTTGTTTTTTGCTATTTGTATAGATTAGTTAGTTTGTTGACAAAAATTGGTTGTTGGGATATTAATGTTTTATCTACAGTGTTTACAACAAAATGGAGAGTTGATCTGTAGCTGTTAGGTTTTTGGGAGCTTTATATATTTGTATTTGCTTTTATAAAAATTTAAGAAATATATGAGGTTTTTTAAAGTACAAGATTTTCTTTTATTACTAAAAACATTTAAGTTGGAACCAAGGTGAATATTAATTGTTTTCGTTTAATTGTCTTTTGTGTAGTTTAATCTTGTTTTTTTGTTGTGGTTTTATTTTATAAATTTGCATGATTTGGGTAATTTATTTTTTGAATGATTTACTTATATCGTCGGCCTTATCATGAAGAAACCGAACTGGAATTTTGAAATTTTACAAAAAAACAGAAAACAAAAATAAGCGTTATTTATATCGATGTAATATTTAAAATTTTAGTCCGCTGTGTTATCTGTACTATGAAAAATACAGATAGGCAACTTCATAAGTTAATTTGCAAAAAATCTAATTTTGTGGGTTAGGTCACTTCGTGATAAGGCCAACGATATGTGATGGAATGATAAAATCGACATAAAATCGGTCGAAGGGAAACTGTTTAGCGTTTTAAAGTAAAAGAATTGGAAAGCAGGCAGCAAAAACATGCTCGACTATCAAGTCGATTCGTATACCGACCTCGGAGTTGTAGTAGTGCATGAAGCATTAAACTTTATTTTTATGATTTAAATTTTGTCATAGATTTATACTATCGTACATATTTTCTTTTATTTGAATCAGTTGTTTGTTTACTCGCTAAGACGATTTTCTCATTCCAACACAGTTATTTTATTTAGCCTGCCTTGCTATATTAATATATGTAAACTTATGTTATTTAGTTAGTAATTATTAACCAAATAGCATGCTTTGTAAGCTTAGTTATTTTTTTTTCACTTTGTTTATACTATTCGTTTTAATTTTATGATACTAATTAATTTTGATATTTATATTTTCAGTTTATCGTAACATTCCATCTATAAAGCATGAACCAAGAGGTATGTCAAAAAAATGTTTATTTTATGACGTTATAATAAATATTATTTAATTTTTAGATCCAACACCGCCCTACAAATCACCCATGTACCCTGTGCCGTCACCCGACCTTAATTTTCCAAGCACTGTAGACATGCTAAACGTCCCATTCAATCCTTGCATCCCCCAAATGGGCACCTCCCCTATACCCATGGAGCAGCAATGGCAAACTCCCTACATGGAAAATAATCTGCCACAAATGAACCTCGTTCCAAGCACATGGGATCAGCCATCAACTTCGAAATCCCCGCAAGTTCCCATGGCACAATGGAACATCCAAAGTATTCCAAACATCCCAGCGACCTCCAACCAACAACAGCCAATAAACGTCTATGTCCCGGTTGGTCAGCAACAGTGGACAGCCGGCAACAGTGGACCGCCTGCCAAAACCAACATTTTGGACATGGACAGTCAACAAATCAACAATTCAGATTTAAATGACATGAATCTCGGGAACATTACCGATCTAACAAACCTTTCGCTTTCGGAAATCGAACCCGAGCCGATAACAAGCGACAGTTTAACGAACTTATACAACAGTCGTGCTGACGAACTCATAAACTTTAAACACTGAAACTAGTGCTTTATACTTTTTAAGCGACTATATTTTTATTTTGTGACCGCATCACCATTAAACTTTACAGTTATGCTTTTTTATCATTGAAAATGTAAATTTTCATTAAGTTTTGTTTTATATTTACATTAAAAACTTTGTTATGTAGATTTTGGTTGTAATACTGTGATCGTTGTCTCAAATATTTTTTAATTAATTATTTTTGTTAATGTACAAATATTTTATAAATATAAATGAATTTTATAAATAATGATATTGTATAATATATATAATCTATACCTAGATATAATAAAGCGTTTGTTTCATTTTAATTTAAATTTTAATAGACCAAAAATCTTAATATGTGAACTAGTATAAACAACAGGTTTTTATCGAAATTTGCTTTTCCCGAAAAAAGCAGGTAAAAAAAATATCTTTCTCCAATGGTTTGGATTTAATGGGTGGAGGGTAACCGTGGTGCATGTTATGGCTACAGGCACTTAGATCATAGTTGGCACTTTGTATTTCCTCCGAGATCCATGTTTTTCTACAATGTTTGCTCAATGTTCTTCAGCCATCCAGGATTCTGAACGACGACAGGAGTCTCCTGTCAGGAGAGCTAACCCAGCTAGCATAATACATAACGCGAGCTCGTGCGATGTTCTGTTTAGGTCGAATAAAATTATTTAAAAACAACAGAAATATTCCTTTTTTTAATATTGCACATTTAATCCATTATTACATACATATATCAACAAAAATACTTGCATCTAAGATTTCCTTTGTCTTAATATAAATGTACCACATATGTAATTCAAAGTAACATAAAGTATATTACTTGTCACGTGATTAAGATTACGTTATAAACAAATAAATAAAATAAAAAGCCAAACCCAAATTATAATTTTATTTGAATAAAATTGATAATGTAAAATAATTTGATTGATTTGATTTAAAGGGGAGCATTTGCAAACCACCTTTAGGTGAAGCTCTTTCTTACCTTAGAAGCCCGCAACTTTTAAGAAAAGCGCAGACCCGCTCTGGATTATTTCATTTGGTTCCAGATACCTGTCCCTGAGGTGTCTTAGTCTGGTATTGACTAGGGCGTCGCATTCGCAGTAGTTTCGTCTACCTCTCTGCCCTACCTACAATCCGTCTCGATGCTGAGTCGGTTTTGTGTAGGTGGTATTTGACTATACGTTGGATAACTCATATGGATATCTAATATACATGTATTGTATTTTTATTTCATAGTAATACGCACGCGCTAAAATAGAGATTGTTTAGCTGCCGGTTATAAGCAAAATAAGAAATATTTCTGTAATAAAGTTTTTTTGACTTTTTTATTTTAATGAATGGAAAAATGAAAGCAAGCATTCTTAATTAATTAATTAATTTTTAATAAATGTATGTCAAATATACTAATTAATTTAATTATTTAATTGATTAAAGATTTAATAAAATACCCACCATTATGATTGAAGCTTTCTGAAATTACATACTTAAGTAACACCCTGTATGTAGTTCTCCGTAAGATTTTGTTTTCCTATAAATAAATGTTCAACTTAAAGAATAAGAGTTTTATTTTATTATAAAAAACCAATGTAGTTTATTGGAAAATAAATATCCATTGATATTCAAATACAGATGACAACCATATTGCATACAATACTATATATATATATATATATATATATATATATATATATATTAGGGTGGGCCAAAAAAAAACTTTTAATTTTTTTTCTTTAGGTACCATGAAAATATCGTCCAAGATGACGAAAAAAAAATTCTCCTAAAGTTTGAGCTCTTAATATTAATATTAAGAGGTGGCTCATCGCGATTTTTTATTTTCCATTTAAATAACACGGGAAAAAAACATTTTTTTGTTTGTAATTTTATTGCGATTTAACGAATTAGTGTGTTGTAAAAATCAATACATATTCTTGTAGGGAATTGAACGATCTACAAAAAAGATCTGATATAATTTTTTGCTTAGTCGACTCTTTTAAAAGATATTTGAGGTTAAAGTTCAACCTCAAATAGTAAATGATGACTTTTATAGTTTTCCATACTCTATTACGAAATATTGGCTTAAAAACATGAAATATCATATTTTTCGTGAAGTATATCGAGTGTTCTTTGGTAAAACAATACAATTTCTACGAAATATCAATAATCAATATCAATAAATTTTTTTTCTATAAGTATAAGTATAAGTCTACTTGATTTAAAAAAAAATCGAATTTTTTTCTTTACAAAAAAATTAATCATTTTCTCAAAAAATAATAAATATTCTATTTACACTTGACTATTAGGTAATAAAAGCCATGTATCAATAATTTATCAACTAAAATAAAAAATTTTATTCCATAACTTGTACTTTTTTCACTATCTTAGAATCAAACATTTGTTGTACTCTTCTATTAATGCAACTCCTCTTTCTGCTACATCATTGAGAACGCTAAGACGTTTGAAAAATACTAGATTATCTTGATAGCTTTCATCCTGTGTCCAAAATTCTACATTCTTATTGATAAAGTCAATGGGTAAATCAAATATATTAAATATGCATATGTATATTTGATACTTATAGCGAGTAGTTAAAAACCACCAGCAAAAATATCCCAATTGTAACAAGAAAAATTTAGTTTGATTCCAAAATAGTGAAAAAGTGCACGTTGGAATAACATTTTTTATTTTAATTGTAAAATTATTGAAACATGGCTTTTCTTACTATACATTACCTAATAGTCAAGTGTAAATAGAATATTTATTATTTTTTAAGGAAATGATTAATTTTTTTGTCATTACTCAGGTAAAGAAAAAATTTCGAATTAAAAAAAAATTAAATATAGGAAAAAACCGTTTTTTCAACGATTATTAATATTTTATAAAAAATTGTATTGTTTTGCCGAAGAACACTCGATAAACTTCACGAAAAATATGATATTTCATGTTTTTGAGACAATATTTAGTGAAAAACTATAAAAGTCATCATTTACTATTTGAAGTTGAACTTTAACCTCAAATAACTTTTAAAAGAGTCGACTATGCAAAAAATCATATCAGATCTTTTTTGTAGATCG